TGTGTTGATGGCGAACGCAGAAAGATGACTTCAAGATCTCTTCGACATGATTTCAAAGGAAAGCGAGGGGAAGAAAAGGCAAATAATGGGTTTCAAGAAGACAGAATGTATAGTTGTCTGCAAGATGCAAGATACAAATTGGAGAACGTAGAATTAAACTGATACAGAGATTTAAATATCTGGGAAGTGTCTAAACAGAAGACAGAAAAAAAATAAACAAGTGAGTCCAAATGTGCATTAGAAAAAAAGAGAAAATATGGCTTCCAGAATCTAAACAAAGTATGAAGAAAAAGGAAAACCGTTAGAAACGAAGACAACAGTGCTGAAATATTACGTAACACCAATCCTCTGTTAGACATTTTCATGATGGTCGTCTTCGAGTATAGAATCCAGAGGTTGGCAGTGGATATTTCGTAAGACAGTAGGAAAGCGTAGTGCAGGTTCGCAGTGGATATCGCAGCAAAGTAGCAGAGCGCAGTTCTTCCGTCTGTCATGTTCGCCGGACAAGTTGCCTCTGGTCATTCCGGTAGGAAAACAAAGATGGCCGCCTTTATACACGACGGATACAGTGTTGTGCGGCTTCTGATTGGTCAACCTTCTATTGGTAGACTATAAAGGGAATTAAGTCATTTTGACTCGCTCACTAGTTATGTACATATATACACAAAAAACCGTAACATCCTCATATTGCAATAACTGCCGACAATGTTCCCCACAGATTGAAGAAAAGACTTGAGGCAACAGGTATGTGGTTCCACACGTGGATACTGCGTGTCTACGGACGGAACATATGAGCGAGGAGGAAATTTTAATGAGGATAGAAACCGTTATATACCGTATTATGGACACTAATGCGTATATCCCGAATCTCATAAATACATTGGACACTACTGTAAGTGTGTGGGGGTAATATGCATTCTAAGTAGTCTACCACTAGGAGTGGTTTACCTACTTCACGTCGCTGGCGAGTATTGTATTTTGTTGATGTTATAAAGATTATCATTTCATTTCCAACTTCCGTTTTGATTATTCCCCATTCAGTAACCCTTTCTAGGTTACAAAAGAAACAAAAAACACCTTTTTTCTTTTTCTGCCTCCATTCAGGACGTTGGCGATCATATCTCTCCAGAAATTCCTGTGCTTTGTAGCTTTTAATAACTTGTGTCTTTTTGTCATCTTACTGAAACCCTGCTCGGCAAATCCATTCACTCAGGCTCGCCAGGTGTGTTATCCGTACTTATCCTCTATCTTTTATTTGTATCAAATTTCCCACCCCCATTTTCCTCGTTATGTGCCTCAGAAATTTCAACTGTGTCTCCCTGATGTTAAGTCGACGTATCCTTTTTGTTGTAATGGTCTTTAGAACTTTATTTTTGCTCACATGTTGTATTCAGAGCCTCTTTATATAGAACCCTATTTCTGTTGCTTCAAGTTTCTTCTTCTTCTGTGATGTGATTGCCCAGCATTCACTGCCATATAGGAGGGCTGATATTGCATAACATTTCAGTATTCGTTTCTTTGTTTCTAACGATATTTTTTGTTTCTTACTTTGCTCAGCTTTTGAAAGGCATCATCCGCTACCCCCAATGCGCCTTCGCATTGCCGTGTCACACTCTTTTAAGATTCTGTTGTGGTAGGATCAACCTAATTTGCATAGTGGAGTACCGACCATATAAATATGGTTGGTACCGGGAAGAGATGAGAGGAATCAAGAGATTCAATCCAGAGACGCTGCCCGACTGCGACTAAGTCAACACATTTTCCAGGAACGGTCTTCCCAGGAATATACAAAAGACTATATGTAAATATTGTGTACACTTTCTTGTTTTAATACATTTTGTTCTAAGTATATTTTGTGTTGCATTATTATTCCATGCATTAGTCAAGTTTCAACAGATTCCTATATATTTTAAGACATTTTTAGGTTTATACATTCTTTTTATAGATACAAATATTTATGTAAATGCTCTGTTTATAATAAAAAGTATTAAACAACATTTACCGGCCTCAATGTCCGAGAAATTTTCAAAGAAAATAATCGTCCTCCGACAGGATTCGAACCTGTATCCTATACGGAACCGTCATTTAGCTTGACGTGCCTTTGTCGATTTGGCCACAGAGGAGCGTTCGGTTAGCAAGGTCGAATTTACTGTATTTGAATTTCAATCTTCTATGAATCTCTCATGGCGTATCAAATGTAAACAAATGATGTCACACATTATGAAATAGACAAAGTCCGACAATTATTTTAAGACATATTTATGTTTATACATTCTTTTTATAGATACAAATATTTAAGTAAATTCTCTGTTTATAATAAACAGTATTGAACAACATTTACCGGCCTGAATGTCCGAGAATGACGGTTCCGTATAGGATACACGTTCGAATCCTGTCGGAGGACCAATATTTTCTGTGAAAATTTCTCGGATATTCAGGCCCGTAAATGTTGTCTAATACTGTTTATTATAAACAGAGCATTTACTTAAGTATTTGCATCTATAAAAAGAACGTATAAACGTATAAACATAAAAATGTCTTAAAATAATTGTCGGACTTTGTCCATTTCATAATGTGTGACGTCATTCCTAAATGTATAACTTGTTGCTGATGTTTGATTTTGGTATCCCCAATTTGTAATTTACATGTTGAGCTGACCCTTTTGCTAACAACCATGTATTCAGTCTTCTTGCAATTGATGTTTAGTCTTCACCACCCTTTCTTGGATTTCTTGTAGTTTCTCTTTTGGATCAAAACTGTCATCTGCATATCTTCTTTTATTAAGATTGTGGCCGCTACTAATTAATCTTGGCTGGGCTTTTAATTCTCTTAGAATGGCCTCGGTGTATAAGTTAAACAGGTTTGATGTAAAGACACATACTGGTCTTACAACCCTTTTTTTATTTTTGTGTATTTACTGAAATCATTTCCTATTTGTTTGCAGGCATTTTGCTACCAGTATAGATTCTGGATTATTGTTAAAACTAGTGTACCCTTGCCGGCAAAATTGACGGCAAGAAGGAATGTATTATAATTATTATGTATTATATTGTAAGTAATTTTTATTATGTATTATATTGTAAGTAATTTTCGTTTAATCCAAGTACAATTTTATAATTTAAAGTAGTTCTTTGTTAACATTAATAATTGAACAGTGTACAAAAAATCTCAGGAAATATATCCGTATTTTATCTTCATTGTGTGTGTGCGTGGGCGCATAGTTTTTGTACGCGCGCTTTTGTGTCACACCTTGCGTGTTCTTGAGACTCAAATTTACCAAGAAATCATCGCTAGTGATAGTCGATCCGAAAATTCAAGACACCTCCAAGAAAAGTACCTTCATCTGAAGTTTAATTCAAGCTGAAATAAAATATAAACCTTGGTAAAGTTTTGTCTGACATATATTTATCTTCTCCTCTTCTACTTCTTCTTCGTATTATTATTAATATTAGTAGTAGTAGTAGTCGTAGTAATAGTAATAGTAGAATAATAGTAATATTAGTAGTATTGTAATCACAAAAATACGCAGGTGTAGGCTTTAAGAAAGCTTTATTCATTTGAGAATACAAGGTTCGCGTACAGTGTCCTTTTATAGTCCCAGTTGTGGATCAGTTTTAATATTTTATATTAATAGGATCCATTTAGATAACTGACCCACGGATTTTTTTTTACCTGCTATATATATATATATATATATATATATATATATATATATATATATATATATATATATATATATATATATATATATATATATATATATATATATATATATATATATATATATATATATATATATATATATATATATATATATATATATATATATATATATATATATATATTGGCTCCTGAAAAATTAATTTCAGTTGAGCTCTCTGGGGAAGAGGTGTGGGTTTGGCAAAAAATAAATACGCTAAAATTCACCTACATCCCGACCGTGCGCCGATGGCTTAGTGGTAGAATCTCCGACTAAAGCTAATTCAGTCGGGTTTCGATCCTGGTTAGAGATGTCAAACCACACTGGTGAGCTGTGAAACAGCGAAACAGCCTGTCTTACATATAAATATATATATATGTAAGCAAATATATGGATATAGATCCGACAGTATGAAGAAAATATACGGAAAAAACAAACAAAAATCCTAATATATATATATATATATATATATATATATATATATATATATATGTGTGTGTGTGTTTGTGTGTGTGTGTGGTGCATTATTATACAGATTCTTCCTACGTATATGAAATCTCGCATTTTTCAGCAGATCTTTGTGATGTACTTTGTCAAACGCTTTTCCATAATCTATAAAAGACACTTGAGCATAAAATAATGAGAGGGTTGGAGTTTCTGGGACACACAATGAGCGAAGAGGCCTTAGAAACATTGACACTCACAGGACCTATTAAAGATAAGAAGGGAATAGAGAAAAATCGAATTATCTATCTAAAGAACTTATCTAAATGCAAATGGGAGATAAGAATCATAGTAAAGGGCCTCAAATTCGAAGTGTCATCCATCGCCAAAGAGTTGACGCATAAATAAGATGGTTTATTTGAAAAGAAATAATGCGGAATAAATTAATTAAAATATTCCATTCAATAAAATCGTCGGTTTTAACATTTAAAAAGAATGAACGTCATTCGACAAATTTCAATCTTTCTTTCAGTTGTCGATTATCTCGTGATCAACAGGGAACATCCTCTGCAAACAAAATGTCCGTTCTGTGAACGGTCGCTTTCATTTGCTTTCTGGCTAAAAGCAATACAAACAAAACGAAGTTGTTTTCCTGCGTCCAGACAATGACCATATTTACAGTCTGGTCTCGACTCACTCGTCCAGAAACATCCAGTTTGCAAAAGCATCGTGAAACCGAAAGACGCGAGTCGAAAAAGATCGGGCGTTCCTTTTGCATTTTCATTCCGATGGATTGCCAAGTGGTCTGGTTTACGCTAGAACAAGTCAATTAGTTTGAGAAATGTCCACTTTTGACGTCAGGCCATTAGCACCTTTGTTTAGTTTGACAACCGTGTAAACTTGATCCCTGGCAGAACGAGAAAAACCGACGGAAAATAAATAAAGAGATAGATAAAACAAAGAGATGTGCGGCGAAAAGAGTCCTGCAAAAGAACGCCGGGAGGAGAAGCGACACATGTGAAGATCACTTGAAAAACGTGGATGTGAGTGAAAGAAAAGGAAGAATTTTCAAACGATAATGAGTGCAAGGAGAAATGTAAGCCGCAAGGAAGGAGGGAAATCGATTGATTTATTAAAAGAGGGAGAGAATGAGGTGACCTGGATGACAAGAAAATATATATTCGTGTATGAGTCGAGTTGTTTAAAACACAATTTTAGGTGTGGCACATTTAGCAAGATATATTTTAGTTAAGCAGCAAATCAGACGTGAGTTGTTATTGAAGCTTTCTTTAAATATGTTTTATGCAGCAAAAAGTAACATGCATTGTATTATTGTAAATAGATGGGACCGTCGTATATATATATATATATATATATATATATATATATATATATATATATATAGTTATTATTATTAGAAGATTATAATAAAAACATGTTGAAACTTTTACACCAAAGCTTTCATGTTTCAGTACTTTGATTGTACTTCTTCAGGTGACTGTAGTTACTTATCGTCGCCTGAAGAAGGACAATTAAATTATTAAAACTTGAAAGCTTTATTGTATATATATATATATATATATATATATATATATATATATATATATATATATGTTTCATTAAATAATATAGACAAGTGTTGTCTATTTATTTTATGTAAATTCTTTTTCATAACGTCTGATAAGCTTAATAACATTATCATTAAACGAAGAAAGAAAATCACAATATTGATACATATCTTTTTAATCTAATCTAAGCTTTCGGCTTACATAAGTCATTATCAAAGATGACAATTACTGTACAATATATTAAGCAATACACGGACAAGAATGTGATGATAGTTTGTTTCTGTTTACATGGATGATTTCCAAGCAACGCTAAATACGTGCATATAAGACGCTGGAAACGAAAATCGCACCGCAGCTCATGACGTCACACAGAACCACGCGAGAATGAATTCGAGAAGTATTAAGTATGGGAAGCCGTTGGTATAAACCAATGGCTTCTGTTACCAATTATAGACATTGAAGGATATTTGTGGAGATTTCGTAGTTTATTTTGTTTAGGTTAGGTTTCATCTGTTTTATGTATATAACTTCAAGACTACACACACACACACAAAAGATATAATTATATTAGCCGGCACGTTTTGTAAGCATATACAGGGCGCGATGTGTAAATTGTCACCATTATATATTTGTAATTTTCGCGCATGCGCATTGTTTGCTTTTTAATACGTCGACGACACAAAACAGCTGGATCAAGTGAGCACTGTTTGTGAGAAAAAGCGTACTACGACAGGAATGAATAGGGGAGGAATACGAAGGGAAATGATTTTCTAAGCGTAGCCTAGATGTGGCCCACGGCCGAAAGTTCGGGGCACCCAGTGAGGATCGAACTAGTCGTAATTGTTCTAGCGAGACAAGCATTCTAGCCATTACACCAAACCAAGGTGCCTTAGAAATACGAAGGGAATGGTGATTATTTGACGATATGAACACGGCGTGGCCGGTCCTAGCTGTGAATGTCTAAAGTTGGTGGAACTGAGGAATGTAGCTCATTTGAACTTTTGCTATAGTAATCAGGATAGAGTAGTGAGAGGTTCACCAAAGAAAATCGAGCCGTCCTTAAAGGCCACTTGCATCTCAATCACCGAGTGTCTCAAGTCAATCAAAGTAGATGATCTCTACTTGCTTAGTGGTAATGCCCTCTGCCATTACATCTGAATGAGAGTCCACTCCCAACTCGAGAAGTTGAAGCAAGAAAATGACCCTCATCATCAACTCCACGGCTGCGAAGCAATGAAAAAGAAGCTTAATTAAAGATACATTTCTATATCCTGTCGACCAACTGAACAAGAGATCTTCCATTCAACGTCCGTCCCTATTGTGCAGCCACCTTAGCAACTTGAAACTCCCACTCAAAACTACAGAATCTCTACCCATAGCTGATGTGATCCCTTGTTCTTCTGGTTTTGCCTGCCTCGCTTCCGAACAGCTGTTGATCGCTGTCGTGCCAAGCTTCAGATATGGAGATATACCGCCAATAATGATCCCAAATCCCAGTGATGCCTGGTTCTTCTGGTTTTGCCTGCCTCGCTTCCGAACAGCTGTTGATCGCTGTCGTGCCAAGCTACAGATATGGAGATATACCGCCAATAATGATCCCAAATCCCAGTGATGCCTGGTTCTTCTGGTTTTGCCTGCCTCGCTTCCGAACAGCTGTTGATCGCTGTCGTGCCAAGCTTCAGATATGGAGATATACCGCCAATAATGATCCCAATTCCCAGTGATGTCTGGTTCTTCTGGTTTTGCCTGCTTCGCTTCTGAACAGCTGTTGATCGCTGTCGTGCCAAGCTTCAGATATGGAGATATACCGCCAATAAAGATCCCAATTCCCAGTGATGTCTGGTTCTTCTGGTTTTGCCTGCTTCGCTTCCGAACAGCTGTTGATCGCTGTCGTGCCAAGCTTCAGATATGGAGATATACCGCCAATAATGATCCCAAATCCCAGTGATGTCTGGTTCTTCTGGTTTTGCCTGCTTCGCTTCCGAACAGCTGTTGATCGCTGTCGTGCCAAGGTTCAGATATGGAGATATACCGCCAATAATGATCCCAATTCCCAGTGATGTCTGGTTCTTCTGGTTTTTGCCTGCCTCGCTTCCGAACAGCTGTTGATCGCTGTCGTGCCAAGCTTAAGATATGGAGATATACCGCCAATAATGATCCCAATTCCCAGTGATGTCTGGTTCTTCTGGTTTTTGCCTGCCAGATATGGAGATATCAATAATGATCCCTTCCGAACAGTTCTTCTGGTTTGATCGCTGTCAGCTGTTGCCTGTCGTTCAGATATGGAGATATACCGCCAATAATGATCCCAATTCCCAGTGATGTCTGGTTCTTCTGGTTTTGCCTGCCTCGCTTCCGAACAGCTGTTGATCGCTGTCGTGCCAAGCTTAAGATATGGAGATATACCGCCAATAATGATCCCAATTCCCAGTGATGTCTGGTTCTTCTGGTTTTCCTGCCTCGCTTCCGAGCAGCTGTTGATCGCTGTCGTGCCAAGCTTAAGATATGGAGATATACCGCCAATAATGATCCCAATTCCCAGTGATGTCTGGTTCTTCTGGTTTTGCCTGCTTCGCTTCCGAACAGCTGTTGATCGCTGTCGTGCCAAGCTTCAGATATGGAGATATACCGCCAATAATGATCCCAATTCCCAGTGATGTCTGGTTCTTCTGGTTTTGCCTGCTTCGCTTCCGAACAGCTGTTGATCGCTGTCGTGCCAATCTTCAGATATGGAGATATACCGCCAATAATGATCCCAAATCCCAGTGATGTCTGGTTCTTCTGGTTTTGCTCGCTTCCTTCCGAACAGCTGTTGATCGCTGTCGTGCCAAGCTTCAGATATGGAGATATACCGCCAATAATGATCCCAATTCCCAGTGATGTCTGGTTCTTCTGGTTTTGCCTGCCTCGCTTCCGAACAGCTGTTGATCGCTGTCGTGCCAAGCTTCAGAAATGGAGATATACCGCCAATAATGATCCCAATTCCCAGTGATGTCTGGTTCTTCTGGTTTTGCCTGCCTCGCTTCCGAACAGCTGTTGATCGCTGTCGTGCCAATCTTCAGATATGGAGATATACCGCCAATAATGATCCCAATTCCCAATGATGTCTGGTTCTTCTGGTTTTGTCTGCCTCGCTTCCGAACAGCTGTTGATCGCTGTCGTGCCAATCTTCAGATATGGAGATATACCGCCAATAATGATCCCAATTCCAGTGATGTCTGGTTCTTCTGGTTTTGCCTGCCTCGCTTCCGAACAGCTGTTGATCGCTGTCGTGCCAAGCTTCAGATATGGAGATATACCGCCAATAATGATCCCAATTCCCAGTGATGTCTGGTTCTTCTGGTTTTGCCTGCCTCGCTTCCGAACAGCTGTTGATCGCTGTCGTGCCAAGCTTCAGATATGGAGATATACCGCCAATAATGATCCCAATTCCCAGTGATGTCTGGTTCTTCTGGTTTTGCCAGAAAGCTTCAGATATGGAGATATGCCTCGCTTCCGAACAGCTGGTGTTGCTGTCTCGCTTCCGCTGTCGTGCCAAGCTTCAGATATGGAGATATACCGCCAATAATGATCCCAATTCCCAGTGATGTCTGGTTCTTCTGGTTTTGCCTGCCTCGCTTCCGAACAGCTGTTGATCGCTGTCGTGCCAAGCTTCAGATATGGAGATATACCGCCAATAATGATCCCAATTCCCAGTGATGTCTGGTTCTTCTGGTTTTGCCTGCCTCTGAACGCTTCGTGAACAGCTGTTGATCGTTCTTCTGGTTTCCTGCCTGCTTCCGGAGCAGCTGTTGATCGCTGTCTTCAGATATGGAGATATACCGCCAATAATGATCCCAATTCCCAGTGTTGATGTCTGGTTCTTCTGGTTTTTGGTCCTTCTGGTTTTGCCTGCTTCCGAACAGCTGTTGATCGCTGTCGTGCCAAGCTTCAGATATGGAGATATACCGCCAATAATGATCCCAATTCCCAGTGATGTCTGGTTCTTCTGGTTTGCCTGCCTCGCTTCCGAACAGCTGTTGATCGCTGTCGTGCCAAGCTTCAGATATGGAGATATACCGCCAATAATGATCCCAAATCCCAGTGATGTCTGGTTCTTCTGGTTTTGCTGTCTGCCTCCTTCCCGAACAGCTGTTTTTGATGCTTTGCTTCGAACAGCTGCCAAGCTTCAGATATGGAGATATACCGCCAATAATGATCCCAAATCCCAGTGATGCCTGGTTCTTCTGGTTTTGCCTGACTCGCTTTCGAACAGATGTTGATCGCTGTCGTGCCAAGCTTCAGATATGGAGATATGCCGCCAATAATGATCCCAATTCCCAGTGATGTCTGGTTCTTCTGGTTTTGCCTGCCTCGCTTCCGAGCAGCTGTTGATCGCTGTCGTGCCAAGCTTCAGATATGGAGATATACCGCCAATAATGATCCCAAATCCCAGTGATGCCTGGCTCT